CCCCCCTCGACACGCCGTCTGCAGTGAACAGCATACAACCTCACCTCGTTAATCACAGGTTCCTGAGGGACAGGTGTTTCCACACGCAGAAACGGAACCATCGTTGCTGTTACTGAGGGCATCACAAGACCTGAATTTTTGAGAGATCAAAATCGACACTACCAGTTCATTGCGATGAGTATAACTGCTTATAGGCGCTTAAAGACAGTATCCGCGCTCGAGAGGCCTTCAAAATGGACTTCGCGCCTTCTGGAACCCTCTGCGCCTTGATGAAGATGATCCCGCTTTTATCCATCAATGGCGCGCGATGAGGAAGTTATCGCAATTTCGACAAGGCTCGCTAGGCCTCGACCGGCAGACCGGGGTAGTGTGGACGAGGTGGCGAGGGGAGGCGTCTGGTCCCGAACTGCATCCGTCCCTTTAAAGCCCGCGCGTCCCTTTAAGCCCGCGGTCCCACTGGCATTTTGCCAAAGTTGGCTCATAGCTCAGCTAAAGGTCTTACTTCGGTCAGGCTTGTAAACATGTGTGAAAGTGCGGAACCATTAGAGTTTTTTTGCTTATGGAATGTAGTGCTTGCTTTTCCAATGGTAGGGAGATTTGTTGTCAAGTGGGGTTTGTTGTCATTTTCTTTCTTTTTCTTTTTTTTCTTGTCAATTTCTCAAGAAAACTCCAGCAACCTTCCCAATTTTCTCTGTAAGCAACTCTAATCATCCCATCGTTGGAAATTGCAGTACGTTGCGAAGCGGCGCTGTAGCGCTACAAGTATGAACGCTGCCTTACGTTCGAAAGTATCCTATTTCGAAAGTTGGGACGCAATTGCGGCTGCCGCATCGAATTCTGGCAGCCACGCCCGGCACACTCGTCCAGGCCCCGCCCCCACTGCTAAAGGTAGGTTTGGGTTCAAGGTGTTCCCGAAGATTTTTCTGCTTCTTTTTCTACTGAGAAGCTAACTATGGAATACTGGTGCATGACAGAAGTACAATTGCCGCCGATCTTGACTCGTCGATAATTGTCTTAATTAAGGATTGCGCAGAAAACGGAAATGCTCGACTTTTGTCCAGATTTGGCCTACCACTTGCATCGAATATCTCAGAGGCGGAGTATTCCTCTACGAAATATCCGTTGAAAATCGGAATCCTCTCTGGTCGTTTCATCATCAACACACGAGGCAGAAAATCGAGAAATATGCTCCGTACATAATCCGGCATCTCATGTGAAATAGCGCTTCGGAAATAGACGTTCACTATAACCACCGTGACCTGAAAGTGGACCCCATTCTGCAAAGATCTCATGTAGGAGAAGGTGGTGCGGGTCAGCGAGATCTGATCGCGGCGGGGGCGAAAAAAGTGGCGTTGCAAGTGGCTGTCGCGCATTAGCAACATGGAATACCGGCCCGCCAAGATCAAATGATGCGTCATTACGTGACATTCCAGTGAATGCAGTCTTGCTTCTTTCTGCGGACGCTAGGCCGTTTTGGAGGTGCGCGAAGGCTTAGGTTTGGCCCGGTATCAGCCTGTTTACTTCAACGACTGTGCGTCGCCTTCAAGTTAAAACAGCCTGACTAAAAACCTTGCCTCCGCAGAAGAGCAAGACTCAGTTCCTGCTTGTCGCCACAACTCGGATCTCCTGACCCATGTCCTCAGAAAGAGTGTACTGAGGCGAAGGCAACTTACTACAACAGTAGTGATGTTGAGTACAAATGCTAACAGGAGATACTTGCCCATAAGCGGAATGTTGTTCGACGTGGAGGTAGAATCTGAAGGGATCCCTTCTTCACTGTGCAGCTTCAAAGCTCACTGTAGGAAGTTCAAGCCATAACTTCTTACCTTAGATACTAGCAAGAGAAACACAACCAAAGCGAGCAGGAGGTTGATGGTCAACGAGATTTTTTCTGCTGAATCAGCCGGTAGATAGAAAGCCATCATTGATAGAAAGGCCATCAGCACCGTCGGAATGATCAGAATTACCGTGTAGAAAAGAGTTTTCCTGGAAAGTATTGTTGGGCTCTAGTTCCTTGGGAGCTCTACCGATAGATGACTCACCTCCGAATAACAACATGGAACACGATTTTACTCTCTTTCGTCTCTTTCTTGTTGACAAGGTAGCCTGGCACGTCTGTAAAGTTAAGCTGAAGAGTGGGCAGGTGGTGCAGGCTTGAACAGTAATCAATAACAGGAATTTAAGGTATCACAAAAATAAAGCGGAGATGGTGCAAAGGCAAGTAGCACCCCTACCGTAAGCGCAGTCGGGGATCAAATCTCAGATTGGCTTCCGCGGAGGTCAACCAAGCCTCCTGCCCTCCAGGGACGGTGAATTGGTGCCAGACTCGTTTTTAAGGATGAGAACACTGACAATGAGTTGTACAGCGGCTAGCTCCAGCTACTCATTGCACAGGCCACTCCACATTCAATAAGCCACTAAGATCCTGAATGGAAGTAGAATGCGTGTCGCACCCTAAGAAGGGATCGCTCCAAGAGAAGACTTCATCCTCTATCCCCAACACAAATAGTTAGCTGTGAGTGCTGGCTACTCAGAGCCGTACTCCACGCTCATTGCATGGGCGGAGCCAGCGGTACCATTGCATCTTTTGTACTGGGACGCTCATCCTTTCTAAGGCTGGTGGTTAGGGGAGGAGGCGAATCATTGAGTAACTCACAATAAAGGGCTCGGATCGTGTACGAACAACGTGGAATGCGAAAGGACTGGAGAAGGACAATCAAATGAACTCTCAGACGGGTGTGGGTTCGCCAGTTCGCCGTCCCGGGAGGGTTGAAGGCTTGGTTGGCCCGGCGGGCAGCGATCCGTTCCCGGACCGCGCGCGTAGCAAACCTGAGACTTGCCACTACACCACCTCCACTTATAGCATATTACAGTATGGTATAGTACAGTCAGAGCACGTCCTGCCGTTGGGGAAATTTTTGGGGAAACGTGACCCATCCCCTCAATTTCACCCGTGTCTATCTACGACCGCCTCATCCTACTCATATCCATCCTTACTTACTGGTTTTGCCTCTCTTCTTCTGCCCCAAATAAAGTTAAATAGTGTTTATGACAAACGACTGACATCGCGCAGATTCCGCTGAACGAGTAATCGGTTAACTGAACGGCTTGAATATTATTATACCAGTTTAATACCACCTAAACAGAATCACTTTTTCTTCCAGTAACCTCCATTTAAGAAATCATTACCTCATCTAGGTTATATGTCCATGACCCGAATACAAGAGTACAACTTTGTTCATCAAATGGAAACCTGAAAGCGAACTGTAACTATAAGGAATCCTCATTCAGCCAGATCGATTTTTGACATTTTTAAAGAGAAGTATTTCGAAATTCGATCAAATTGCATGCGACTTTGCCATATGAAGTTATGATCTCCAATAAAGACAACCATCAACATCAATGCGACACACTGGTCTTTTGAACATAGCTGGAGCACGCCACGTGACCGTCACCATTCTGATATCGACAAGGCGTTTGATCGACAAAAAGAAACATTTCGTAGTTCCCATCAGCGGCTGAAGAAGATTATTTTACTAACTGGTTGGTTGCCTGACGGCTTTCAAATGTGAATGACACTACTTACCTAGCCACCTGCTCGAACACAGAAGGACTTATCAAAAAAGAAAAATGAGAAAGACAAATATTTAGGTGCCGAAAGTTCTCTAGGTGTTTTGTGCACCTATTTTTTGTACATTCACTGCTGATTAAAAACATTCTGCCTTGCTTCTCAGTAGCACATCCTGTAGAGAATTTCTTGCGCTATCTGATGGTATAATTGTCGTTTCACCATTGCTTGATTAACCCCCTTTTTTCAAGACTTTTTGAAGCATGTGAAAAGAGCACTTCGGACGATTTTTTTCTTCGACTATAAATTGGGCAATCCGCAATCGAAACAGCTCAACAAATTAACCAGGTGTGGGGGCCCAATAGTGCTAGAGAAAGCACTGTGCGGCAATGGCTCAACAAATTTCGAATTTCGTTCTGGAGATTTCAGCCTTGAAGATGAACCTCATAGCGGTCGACCTAAAGCAATATCTGACGAGGATTTTAGGGGATTTTGGAGGCTGACCCATCCCAAACAGTTCGAGAGATAGCAGAAGAGCTAGGCCTTGGCAAATCCACTGTTGCAGATGGTCTGGAACGCATTGGGAAGGTGAAAAAAACTCGACAGGTGCCCCACATTCGAGTGGCCGGCAAGGAATCGGCACGTCTCGCAGTTCTGCTTCTGACCTGATTTTTGCTGCAGCAGAAACGACCTGTTTTTGGGCCGAATTGTCACCTGTGATGAAAATGGGTCATGTATGATAACAGGAGACGTTCCGGACAGTGGTTGGATTTCGCGAACCACTGAGGTAATTTTCAAAAGCCGCCGAACCCTCACGGAAAAAAGGTTTCTGGTCACGGCTTGGTGGTCATCGGCTGGTGTGATCCACTATAACTTTTTATCACCAGGCCTAAACCATCAGCAGAACCCTACTGTGAAGAAATCGACGAATTGTACCGAAAATTTTGTCAGATGCAGCCAACACTTATCAAAAGAAAGGGTCCGATTCCTTTGCATGACAACGCCCGCCCACACGTTTCACAAATCACTATCCATAAATTGAACGAATTGGGGGTTGAAGTTCTACCTCAACCGCCATATTCTCAGACCTTTCGCCAACCGACTATCACCTTTTCAAACATTTTTAGAACTTCCTTGCTGAAAAATACTTCATCAATTAGGACCACGCAAAAAAGACCTTCGTGATTTCGTGAATTTTCGACCACCCAGTTTTTACTTTGATGGGATTTCTCGACTGCTGTCACATTGGCAAAAGTGTGCTGATTCGAAATGGTGCCTATTTCGATTAAATCCGATGAGTATTAAAAAAGTTACGATCGTTTAAAGTGAAACACCCAAAACGCTGAGAACTTTCCGGACAACCTAATACATCAAATGCTTGAGAGCTC